AATCATATTACTATATTATTTTGCAATAAATACCTACTACATTTATAGTACTCAACAGTACAACGTAGCATACTGTAGTTTGAAATGTTTAATAATGCTCTCTAATAAAGAAATTATTTATATTAAACTTTTTATACAAGTATGTAAATGTATGTGTTTATATAAATATTTATATACACACAAAAATAATAAAATAAAATGGAATATTTAACAGACACCGAGTCTGAAAAAGAATCTCAAAAAAATAAAGGCTGTGTGAAAAATACTTACTGCAGAATCAAAGTGACAAGTCGTATGGCCTCTACTGCCACATCATACTCTTTATCCAAAGTCATGGACACAATACGGTCCTGAGAGAAAGGAAGTGACATCATAACACTTCCAAACTGATGCCTACAGCACTCAGGCACATTTTGAAAATTGTAATAAAGGTATGGAGAGACATAATAAAAGCTGTTATAGAGTATTCAGAATTGTGCATGTATGTCACCTTAAATCGATTGGTGAAGAGCTCAAGTTTGGGGTATAGCTCTCTGTTGGTGTAGAGGGTCTGAAGAGCCTTTAGACATTTGAGTCGAACTTCACCTTGCTGTAAAGGATTATATAATTTAATTAAATTTTTTAGATCAACAATATTTAACATGAAAAAATACATAATTGTATATACTAGATTATGTTACTGATAACTATCACACACACAGAGAAATATACACACTTACTCTGTCATGTAGCGTCCATCCCACATACTTCAAGTAACTGTCATTGAGAAAAGCATCACTGTATAACTTCATCCAAACGCCAATTTCTTCTATGCAAATAGCTCTGATTTCCGCTATGGCATCTCTGAAAGAAATCAAGAGAACATAATATGAAGTCCTCGGGATAATGAAACATCTGGTTTCTAGTCATTTGTGATTTTTGGATAAGGATATGTCAAAAACTCTGACATTAAAAAGTACAAACTGCTCACAAATGGGTTTCTACCTGCTATTTGTATGCCACTCACCTGTAACGGTGAA